GCACAAATTATTCAGAACATGATCAATTATTCCAAAAATATATATTCTGCTTCACCACCAAAATTAGCTAGGATAACACAAAAGGAAAAAACTTCATTTATAAGAATAACTGGAAACTTCCATCACCTATAAAGCAAGGACCCTCTTATTGGGAAAATCTTGTGTATAATCAAGAGTAGCGCCAACCAACCACCCAATAGATCATGAAAATGCTATCACTAACAATTAAGAACACAACAAGAGCGTATAACTAATTTAGAACATGCTGAAAAGTAGTTTGGAACACGCTAAGCTTATTTACAAATCACAGAAGTCATTTCATTCGTTTAGAAATTACATAATTAGTTGCAAAAAATAACAGACACATCACATTTTGTACAAAAAAACAGTAAATCATCAAAAATTGATTCAAAAAATTGGCAAAAAAAATTATAAATGAAGCAAAAAAAATTAGCATATAATCAAACACAATATCAAAAATCAAAAACTCTGGAAAGATCAATTCGAAATTGACGAATCTATAATCAATTGTTTGAATTAGAAGAAAAAAAAAATCAAAAATTGCGAAATTCTGCTAAGATCTGTTCGAAATTGACTGGAAAAAAACCAAAAAAAATCGAACAAAATACAAGGAAACTAAATCGAAAATATTAAAAACGAACACATTAATTCAATAAAAGTAAGAATAGAAATTATAAAAGTTGAATGACAAACCTTAATTTCTTGAAGAATTTCATGAACTTGCGTTGATTGAGAGGATTTGCAGCAAGAATTATGAGAAGAGTGAAGAGAGAGAGACCTGTAACGTATTATGAGTGAAGGAGGAGAAAGATCTAGAGGGGTAAGGGTGCAGCTGAAATTACCAAAGTGCCATTACTAATCTATTCATTTTGGGCGGTAAGATCTATTCAAATCTCACGGTCCAGATTAGTTCTTATATATAATGGGATTTTATATAGAGGAGGGTTCTTATCTATATATATATATATATATATATATATATATATATATATATATATATATATATATATATATATATATATATAGGAATAGGATCATGTAAAAACAAGTGTTTAAATAAAAACTGAAAACTTTTAATCTCAGCCGTTCATCAAATTGTATGGCTGAGATTTCTTTCCTCTTATATTCAGACATGAATTTCTCTGTCTAAATTTCACATTATTTTCTCTCTCCTCTTTCGTACTTTCTCTCTCTTCAACCAGCTTCTCTGTTACTCTCTCTACTATGTTGCATCAAATTATGGCGAAAAATCTCTAGATATCACAATCAGGTATGATTATATTCGACAATTTGTTTGTCTTTTCACGAATTTTCAGCGATTTTTGTGATTTGATATTTGCGTTTTTTCTGTTTGATTTTCATGAATTTTGCATGAGTTCGATTTTTTCTGATTTGATTTTAAGAGTTTCGCATGGAGTTTGATTTTTTTTTAGTTCGATTTTTGCAAATACAGGCTTCGATTTTTGCTTATTTTTGCGGATCTATAGTTCTATTATAGATTTCGAATTTCAGAGATTTAGTGTTCAAATTAGTGTTTGATTTTAGCTGATTTTACATAAAGTATGAAGAATGCTTCCTGGTTTAAGATACTGAATTTGATTCTATATGTCTGACTTTTGGTGTTGAGCAGACTGCTTAAGCGACTAACCCAGGAGCTACAGACATCTGGGGTGGATTTGTCACAGGCTAACATCTCAGTTCAACTTGATGTTGGGAAGGGAGGAAATAGTGGCTCAAATGCTATTGCCCCCACTATAGAGGTTGGTTCTGAGTTTCTTTTTCTTCTATTTGTTTCTTTTTTCTGAAACTTGGAGCTAACTGCTTGATAGATTGCTTCTGATCATGCTAAATCGACATCTACATGACTTTCTTGACTGTTGAAACGTGTACTTCTAGTCTGACATATGTGCATGGCTAATTTGACTTTGTACTGGATTTTGCTTCAAAATTTCTGAATTAAGCCTGTTTTGAACTTGAATCAAGGTAGCCAGAATTCGAGGATTTGGATACCTTAGCTCAAACATCATGAATAATTATGGGCAGAATTCAAATAGAATATTGTATTACTTAAATATGAGCAGAATTCAAATATAATATACAGATCAAATCTAGACATTTTCCAATTGCCTTGTACTATAAGAGAATACGAGCTGAGCTCAATCTAATATGTGTTTTCTATCTAAATTTTGGAGTCATAAATGAATGAAGAACTACATTTTGAGGTTCCACCACATGTATCTTCTTGTTTTATTTACTATGACTATCTGCTAACATAATTTGGATTAATAATTATTCTGTCTAAGCTCTGTATGAAGTTCCTAGAATTCATGAGCATGCAAGTTGCTATTTATGTATAGAAAATGTATTAGCTAATCATTATTTTTATGCAGACTACTTATGTTTTAGGATATCTTATTATCTACTCATGTCATCAGATGATCAGATTATTTAAGTTTAGAGCAATCTAGTTTAAATCTTTACCTTATGCTCTTACACTTAGTTTTGACACCTTTTTGTGTGGTCAGATTATTTTATTGCTAGCATTAGCTCTTGAATATCTGTTTAATAGCATCTGTGATCTTGTCTAGCTAATATGGAATTGATGACACGCATGATTTTTATTCTACTGAATGCTATTTTATATTAGTTAAACTATAATGATTATTTGTCAAATCTAATTGTTGGTTGCTATGTAGTACTTGAAATTATGTATGGCATGTACTCTTTGCTGAATATATGCATTTGAAGTGAAAATTAAGTTTAGACAGTTGGTAGCTCTGAGTTTTATTTTGAGTTTGATTTTATCTTCCACTGAGTTTCTATTCAGAAGTACAAAACCAGCTACATTTCTTCTCTTGTATAGTTAAATTGCTTAGCTTTGATCTGACTAATAGTTATGGGTGATACAAACACTTACTGACTCGAGTGCTCTTGTTCCCCTGGATCCTTTTAAGTTTTGCCCGAAGTTCCCGTACATATCTGCTCACTCTAAATCAACAAAAACATCAACCATGTTATATTTAAAGGTTCCAAGTCTAGTACTGTGTTAGAATTTTTTGGCCTAGCTGCTAACTGCCTGTTTATTGTTGTTTTATAGCACTCCTAACTTCCAAGTCAATTGGTATTTTATATATACTGGAGCAACTGCAGACTTAATTGTTATGTTTCATGCTATATCATATGCGAATCAATTTTAATGATTTGGATAATACGTTAATTCTATAAGTGCATGCTAGATTACTAGATATCCTAAATTTTGTTATTATCTCTGCCTTGCTTTTGTTTTTTGCTTTTAAATGTAAAACACGGTAATTATTTGCTTATTTCAATAATTTCTTAATTGTCTACAATTTATAATATCTGATTCAAAAGCTTGCTTTGACAGACTGTTCGAAGCTGAAAGTTGATTCGTTGGAATCGGATAGCTTATGGTTCTTGGAAGAATCACAATTTGGCTATTACAAAATTATCTGATGACAAGCAGGAGCAGGAGAAGTTATCTGATGACAAGGAGAAGAAGGAAAAGTTATTTGATGATAGTTACCTTATTTTTGTAAATAGTGACTTCTATATAAATGTGGTCAATGTTGTCAAAATTGATATAATTACCTTATTTTTATATATAGTGACCTTCGTTATTTTTATATATAGTGCCCTCTGAATAAATGTGGTCAAAATTGATATAGTTACCTTATTTTTGTATATAGTGACCTTTATGTAAATGTGGTCAAAATTGATATAATTACCCTATTTTTGTATATAGTGACCTCTAAGTAAATATTGTAAAAATTGATATAGTTACCTTATTTTTATATATAGTGACCTTGGTGTAAATGTCATCAAAATTAATATAACTTGATATAATTACCTTATTTTTGTATATAGTGATCTCTGGGTTGTTTCACACCATCAGATTATCTAGTGAACATTCAATGGCTAAGATTGCTTGTTTTTAGTTTTCACCATAAGCTCTGTTTTTAGCGGAACCTCCCCGTATATATATATATATATGTGTGTGTGTGTGTTGTAGGTGTTGTATGGATCTCAAACCATGCATTGTAATTCACCATGGTGGACAATGGAAAAATCTGCCACCATTAAAGTATGTTGGAGGAAGGGTGAGTATTCAAGAGCATTTGCCAGATAATTTTGATGCTTATTATTTAAAAGGTATGATCAGAGGTTTGGGGTATGATAATTTCATCAAGTTACATTACTGTGATCCTAGTAAAGAAATAGGAATAAATGAAGGGGTTCGGTTTTTGGGTTACGGTGGTAATACATTTGATACTTTCTTGAACTTTTTCGTAGAATACATAGTACATTTATTCATTGAACATGAAAGTATTGATGATGATACAAATTGTGTTGAGGTGATTGATCATTATGTTAATAAAGAAACGTTGTGTGATTTTGTAAGCACCGAAAACGATCCTCTAATTGATGAATTGTGTGATGATATCAATGAAGTTGAGCATTATGATGAGCAAAGAGATGTAGTGGGGTTCGGGAAGGGGCAACCCAAGTTAGGTATGCAGTAAGTCTTGGAAAGAAAGTGTAGTTGCAATGCGTGGCAAATAAGTGGAGTCCCTTGTAACCATGCTATCGCAGCTATTTGGAAGGCCGGTGAGCATCCAGAACATTAAGTTGCCTCTTGCTTCACGAAGGGAACCTATTTGAAGGCGTATGAGTTTTCTTTAGAACCCTTGAACGGTCCCCAACAATGGCCTGCATCCCAATATGATCCTATACAGGCTCCGATCCATTGGTTAAGAAAATTAATCACCGACCCATCGTCAAAAGATAACCGTCATAGGGTGAGGTTGATGGAAGCATGAGATTGAGCAAGAAAGGGAGTATTTTTCGGTGGAGCCACCCCAGCTACTCTTCACGAGTAACGTTCTTTGTTTCTCTAGTGGCATTTTGGAGATTATTTGCATCTTTGGCTGCTGAGTGGACAAACGTGGGGATATGCTTTAGTGGCATTTTGGATGCTTAGTTGGCAATTTTTGCTAAGTATTTGTGATGGCGTTAAAAGTTAAACAAATGATTGCTTCTGGGAGTAAACCCAGGAAATACACAATTCCTACTCTCTATCCAAGGTGATTCCAGATCTGGCTTTGCTTCTGGTTTGAGGAGATTTTCAGATTTAATTATAGGTGAATTGAAGTAGAGGTTAGTCAATTTGTTTCATTACCCTCGTTTATCTGGTCTAAGGTTCTTTTTTGTGGGTTGTAATCATGTGTGAGTTGCGAAAGGAGTTTATTTTTTTTAGTAATTGAACTTAAATTTATGATATACTCATGTGGTTTAAGTTGTTTCTTGTGATTTAGGTGAATCTTCAGTTCGTATTGATTCTTGCGTAAAATATTGCAATTACTGCTTTGTGAAAATTGGTTGGTATGTTTGCGAAAATTGAAATTAAATTGCTGAAATTCAATTTTTGTTTCAATTGTTGAAATTCCTCCGCTTTACAATCTCCGATCTCCAACCTGCAAAATGTTCGAGTCCTCTCTATCTCTTCGAATTCGTTTATCTGCAAAACTCAGATTTCGTTTTTTTTTTTTTCGATTTTCTGTAATCTTATGCTGTAATCGTTAATAACTCCGTCAAGGTCCGTCCACAAATCACCCCACGTGAAAACAGTTGGCAATCTCTAGTACACATCACATGACAGCATTACACCCTAAAATGACTTTTTTGCCCCCAAGAGAAACAAGTTTGTTAATCAATAGGAGAAACAAGAAATTACCCTTTTCGGTGTAGTAATTGTAGACAAGAAGGTCATAACAAAAGAAGGTGTAAAAAACCTTCTGTTGCTAACAAAGAAGGTCCATCAGCACATCCCTTTAACGATCCATTTCAATCTTTACAACAAAGGCAGCGGGAGCAAAAAAAGAAGCAAGAGCAAAATAAGACGGCACGAGATCTTCCAACTCAAGAGTCACAAGCTCCGGTATCAAGGCATCATAAGGGACATGGTCTTTATAACTACTATCCAGATGGATTTCAAAGACAAGCTCTAGTAACTAGTAAGATGTTGATTTAGTTTTCTTGTATAAGCCATGTTATTATATTATATTAATCATTACATGATCGAATACCCTGATGTTAATTTCTCAATATTATTAACAGTCTAAATACACAATTGATATGCAAGCAAGCACTCCATCAAGCATGACAACTCAGTATCATCAAGCAAAATAGGGAATCAATTTCAAGAAAGGGTGAAGATGTTTCACCATAGTCAGGTATGTACCTAACCAAATTATTTCCCTTTATTTTATTTATTTATTTTTTTTATTACATGCATCTAGGTATTAGTGATAGATCTTTGGGTTACATTATTTGCAGCAAAATGGGGGAAATCATCTTGGAATCTTGTTAAATATTACATCTATTTGCATTGCTTGGTGTACATATATATTGTTGGGTATAATAATTGTACTTATAGTAACGATACTTGTGAACCTCATCAACAGATTTTAATTATTAATTTAATTTTTGTAGGGATTTTGAGCTGTTGAACATGAGTTTTTGGTATTAACAACAAGTTGATGGGTTTAGGCAGGAAAATACAGGAGTATATTATTGGCTAGTATTGTGGATTTGTGGCAGTATTGTTTTTGTTTAATGTAAAAAACAATTTATTTATTTTCTTTTGGTTTTTTTTTTTATTATTTTTTTGGCAAGGATGTTGAATTATTTCTCCTTTTATGAATAGTTAATTATCCCTTGGGTTTACCTTTGATTAAAGTAACAGAAGTTTGGATAGAGGTCCCAAACAATGCAAAATTAAAAGATAGGTCCCAAACGATAAAAATTATGAAACTTAGGTCCCGATTGTATGCTTAACTCCACAAAATTTGGATGTTTTTATGCGACAAAGATTTTCGTAAGACTTCATATCACAAGCGGAGCCAGTATAAAATGGTTTAACAATTAATTTGCGTTTTAACGGTCTAAACCGTAAATCGCATCAAATTTTGGTTCGCGATGCGATTTGGTCTAAATTGTTTTGAAAACCACACCAAACCATAATCCACAGGTTGGTCATTTTCAAAAATCACATTGCAAATTTCAAACCGCAAATAGTTTTGCGGTTTGGTGCAGTCTATGCTGCACTCTGTACAACCATATACATGGGGATGAGTATATGAACTTATGACCTATTAATCTATTATCTCTAGATTCTTAGTCTTAACTACTAAGCCAATACCTCGTTGATAACTATGTGTTGTTGGCTTAAACACAATGTATAATTTTATAATATTGTTTTTGAAATTAGACAATTAATGATATAATATTCCATAGTTAAAATTGTGCACGGACTACTGTAGGGGTACTTATCGAGCGAGTTGATCACGAGCTGAGGGTGCTCGACTCGACTCGAAAACTTTTTACATGTGCTTAACTCGTGCTCGCTGAAATTTCGAGCCAATAAAACGTGCTCGCCTTGTGCTCGTTAAAGTTTCAAGTCAAGTCGAGTAACTCACGATCTGCTCGTTAAAGTTTTGACCCTTCTATAATTATATGCCTGTATTTTTTTTGTTCACTTTATATTGTTTTCTTTTTTTATAGTAGTGTATTTATTATTAAAGATTTACTCTTTCTTTTTTGATAATATAAATTAACACTTATTTAAGTGTCAAATTTGTTTAAACATGGTAACTTTATTTTGTTTGTAAATTTTATATTAATAAAATATATTATCAAGTTGCTCACAAGCTTATCGAGTCGAGTTAGAGCTTGTTCAACTCGTGCTCGTTAACATCTCGGGTCGAGTCGAGTTTTGACCGAGCGTTGACCGAGTCGAGTTCAAGTTGCGCACGAGCTGCTCAACTCAATTAGCACTCCTAGACTAGTGCCTCACTCAAGCTATGAATAGTGGAAAATGATGGTAAAAAAAAACATACTTCCTCCGTTCTTTTATTATTACACTATATAAGTTGGGCACACATTTTTTGGTAGTGGGAAGAAGGAAGAGAGAGAAAGGTAAAAGTACAAAATTATCCATATGATGTAAACATAAACTAAATAATCAAGTGGTAAAAGTAAGGGTACATTAGGTATTTGTAGTGTGAACACAATTTTTTTTTTCTTAAAATGGATATGGTGCAATATTTGTGAAATTTTCTTAAAAGCCAAGTGGTGCAATAATTAAAAAACGGAGAAAGTATATGGTTGGAATTCTCCTTCACATATATACACATATTTTCCTCTATATATATCAAAAAACTTTTTGTATAAACCTGGTTTACAATAAATTTAATGTACATCGAGTAGTGTCCGGGAAACTTTTAGCGAATTTAGGGTAACTTTTAACAAATTTAGGGTAACTTTTAGCCTTTTTGGGGTACTTTAAAATCTATGTGGTTTTAACATAATTAAGCACAAGGATAAGTTTTATAAAGGTAATATAATTATCACAAATTCTTATATGTGGTTGGCCACACAGTGTAGCCAGCCATCATTGGGGTTATTTCGTTAGTGTAATAGTGGTTACTTGGTCATTGTTACAGGGGTTACTTCGTCAGTGTTATAGGGTTACTCGGTCAGCCTTAACAGGGGTTGCTCGCACGGTCAATGTTACAAGGGTTACTTTGTTCTTTTATAAGTGGTCACACACTTACACGGTGTGGCCAGCCACACACAAGACGGGCTGTATAATCTTTATTTAATTTTCATTCGCTATGATTTGATTTTAAGTTATGTATAACTTTAAACCTATGTAACTTTTATATATTAGGGTAACTTTTATTTATTTTATGGTACCTTTTGATCATTTTAGGGAAACTTTACAACGGATGTATTTATTATATACCCGATTTTCTAAAAAGTTTGTCATATATGTTTCGTATGATATCTATTATCTACTACATATCTGGCCTTATCATTTATCAATGAAGAGAGAAACACTTGTATAGTTGTATTTGTTTTGTTGTGTAAGAGCAAAGAAAAAATGGCAGAGGTGAAGGTGATAGGATTTTGGCCAAGCCCATTTGTTATGAGGCCAAGGATTGCCCTCCACATGAAATCAGTAGAATCCGAATATATTGAAGATACTTTGCAACCAAAAAGTGAGCTTTTGCTTAAGTCAAATCCCTGTTCTTCTTCACAATGATAAGCCAATTTGTGAGTCTCTCATCATTGTTGAGTACATTGATGAGGCCTTTCCATCCGGTCCATCCATCCTCCCTTCCGACCCTTATGATCGTGCCATCCAACGCTTTTGGGCCGCTTACATCGATGATAAGGTATTATATCTTATTGGAAAGTTTTATATGGTAGCCTTATGTTTTGAAATTATTAGCATCGGTGGGAATTTCTTACTCATTAGATTTTTTTTTTTTTTTTTATGATTAGAAAATACCTTTTTGAACTTATTTCACAAAAATAATTAGAAAACTGTCAAATTTTATCAAATTAAAATGGAAGAAGGGTTGGAAATTAGGATGCAATACTAATCTGAGACCGAATGAGTTGGATAAAAGATGAGTAGGGGTGGAAGTTAGAAGATATATCATATATATACCCTCCATTTCTTTTTCATCTTCTTGTTTTGATTGTACACACGTGTTCATACACATTTTTTTTACCATTAATATCTCTAATCTTGCATAGTAAGTTATTGATATTCTTAAAGCATCAAATAAGACCTCTCATTATTATGGATTTTCTAATATATAGGAATTAATAATTTAAAAGATTTTCTCAAATTGTATATAGTTGGAAGACTTCAAATAAGAACATAAAAAAAGGAACATGTAAGTATTGATGTTTAAGGGGAAATTGTGGTTAAGATAAGAGGTAGGGTGGGTCGTGTGATAGAGTATATAAAACATATTCCTAGACCTCAACCATCAGCTTAAACTTTTGGTTGAGATAGTTCACTAATAGGGTGGGTCTGCATTTTGTCACAATAAGTTCACAAATTAAAGTGATTTTTTAGAAAACAACCTGGCTAATTATTCACAAATTTACATGACAATTCTATAGTAACTAGGGATTCCAATGCGCGCGATATGGCTAGCCTTTTTGAGAAGGATTATTACCAATGGCTATGATGTCCTATGCTTGTTTGCGTAATATTTTATTTAAACTATTTGATTTGGATGTTATGTAGTTCTGCAATGCTCAAAACTTTAGTTGAGCTACTTTGATTTATTTAGTGGTTAAATGGTAAAAAGATATTGAGTTTGATCTAGAAATATAAATATCTAATAATTCTAAACAGGAAAATTAAAACAAAAAGAAATAAAAAGAGTAAAAAATAACTTTAAATATTGAAATAAACCTAACTTATTAAAAAAATTCAGGGAATTCAAGAGACAATATTAAGACTTTTGAAATCAAATGGGGACAATTATGTAAAAAAACATTCTAGGGATATAAATGTCCATGCACCATTCATAAGTTTGGGTATTCTTTATTACGTGCAACAAATGTTTTTCTTTTCATTTTTAGTAACTTTTTTCCAACAAATTGCTACAATGCCCTTACCTAAAAATTTATAACACAATTACATACTTATAACAAAATCAGTTAAAAACTAATCCAATGTAACTAATCACAAAAAAAATTCAAAAATCATCGAATTTTCAACTCATCATCTACATATCTCCCCCAATGACTCTCTCTCCTCCTCCATCTTCAAATTTCTTCACCTTTCTTCATCATCCTATTACCTTTCACTCTCCTCCTTCAACCCATTCTCATGAATTGAAGAAGAAGAAGAAGAAGAGACCATCCTTAGTGTTTCGATTCCAGATCTGAGTTCGTAGGTTGTCTGGGTCGTACGTGGTCTGGGTTCGTGCGCGATCTAGGTTCGTGGGTGGTCTAGGTTCTTGTGGTCGTGGGTTTCGACGTTTAGTGCGTGGTCTGGGTTCGTGGGGTCGTGGGCTGGTGGGTTTTGGTGGTCAGGGTTCGCGGGCTGGTGGCCGTGGTGGGTTTCGGTGGTCTGGGTTTGTGGGTTGTTGGGTTTCAGTGGTCTGGGTTTGTGGGTTGGTGGGTTTCGGTTGTTTGGGTTTGTGGGATGGTGAGCTTCATGGGGATTGCGTAGGTGGGCGTGGGTGTTGGTGGTTCGTGGGGTGGAGTGGTGGTTCTGCGCCGTCGTGAGTGGTGGTAATTCTCCTCTGCTTAATTGTGTTTTTTTTTTTTCTAATTTGGATCAATTATCCGTTCTCTCTCCTCTTACTTTTCAATAATCTTGTTTAAAATTTTTTGTCTAAGAGTCCGCAAAAAGTAGGTTTGTTGCACATAATTGTGGGTGGAGGGAGTACAACTAATGTGTGCGTTGCAAATTAAATGTTAATGTTAATGGTGTTACAAAAATATGCAGTGGTTCCCAACATTTCGTGAACTACTCTACTCACAAAGTGATGAGGAAGTAAACGTAGCAACTATAGAGAAAGTGAAAGAAGGGTTGGCATTGTTTGAAGATGCCTTTGTGAAATGCAGCAAAGGGAAGCCCTTCTTCAGTGGTGACAAAATTGGATACCTTGACATTGCCTTGGGGAGCTTTATAGGGTGGTTGCGCGCGGTTGCAAAGATGTGCAACATCGTCGAGTTTCTAAATGAGGAGACACCTAACCTCTTCACTTGGTCTGAGAGGTTTTGTGCAGATGATGCTGTCAAGGATTATATGCCTGAGACTGACAAGCTTATGGAGTTTGGAAGATTGATAAAAGCTAAGTTCAAAGCAGAAGCTGCTAGCCAAAATTAAATGGTATGCATAGTTATTGTGATTATAAAGAGACCTTATGAATTATGATGCTATTTTTAAATTGCAACAAATATTGTACTTTGGGTTTTTTTGCACAATATACACACTTCGTCGTAAAAATTCTCTTGTATGAATCGAGATTACTTTGCTATAAGCAATGGACGATTGTTTTGAGTTAAGAGTACACTAAAATATGTTGGAACCATATCAAAATCACCCATATCGAGAGTTTAGTATAAGATTATGTTGTGGCATACTCTACATCTTTGTCTTTGGATTTGCTTCAAGTTATAAAAATAAGGGAAACTCTACAAGGTGACCTCCAGGTTTCACTTTTTCTACGTGGAAGGTTAACTTGTTTCCAACTCTCTCAAGTGGCACTCTTTTTTGCAAAATTAAGTGTAGTGTCCTTTTTTTGGTTTTATAGCTAACTTTCATAATTAAAATAGTTAACTTAAGGTTTTTTAGTTTAAATTAATTAAATTATATTTTAAAATAATAAATTAAAAAAAAGTACAAAAAAAACATAAAAATTCCCAAAAATTCTCAGCCACCCCGTAAACCCTAACCTTGCCGGAATTCGGCCAGCCACCAACTCCCGACCACCAAAACCACCACTCAGCCCAACCCCCGACCACCGAAACCACCAAAACTGGCCGGTCGGCCATCCATAACTCCACCTGACCTTGCCCCGACCTCCAAAACCGCCACCCTGATCCCCAAAACAACTACGAAACCACCGCCACCGCAAAACCCTAAATTTGTAGTTGTTTTGGGGATCGGGGTTGCGGTTTTGGGGGTCGGGGCTAGGTCAGGTGGGGTTGTGGAAGGTCGGCCGGCAAGTTTTGATGGTTTCGGTGGTCGGGGGTTGGGCTGGGAGGTGGTTTCGGTGGTCGGGGGTTGGATGGGAGGTGGTTTTGGAGGTCGGGAGTTGGCTGGGAGGTAGTTTCAGTGGTCAGGAGTTGGCTGGGAGGAGGTTTGGTGGTCGGGAGTTGGTGGCTGGTCGAATTCTAGCAAGATTAGGGTTTGCGGGGTGGCTGGGAATTTTTTTGTACTTTTTTTTGTTTTTTTTTTTATTATTTTAAAATATAATTTAATTAATTTTTAAACTAAAAAACCTTAGGTTAACCATTTTAATTATAAAAGTTATCCATAAAACCAAAAAAAGGATACCGCACTTAATTTTGCAAAATCAGAGTGCCACTTGAGAAAGTTGGAAAAATAGTTTGTCTTCCATGTAAAAAAAGTGAAACCTAGAGGCCACCATGTAGAATTTCCCTAAAAATAAAAATAAAAATAAAAAACCTATGTCAAAGACTCAAGACGCAAAAAATTAATGACTTGTAAACAAATAAGTATTGGGTTCTAAAAAACATAAAATAAAGGGGTTCAATCTTATTGACAATTTAAGCATTAATAAGTTTAAATAAATTTAGATACTACCTTCATTTCATATTATTTGCAATTTTAGAATATTTTATATCTCACAAATAATACCTTAAAGTTGCAAATATAATATGAAGCAAAGGTAATAAGATAATTTAACTTCAGATAATTTCAAAGGGCAAGAAAAACCCTAACCTTCTTTTCCTCTCTCTAAAACTCTAACTTCTATTGTTGAATTTAAGAGGGGCTTTCATCGTTTTTACCGGTAAAAAAACCCCATTTTTTGTTTATTTCTTCTGTAATTTTCTCTTTACTTTGTTTATTTTTAGGTTTATAATAATTCTTCCTATTCTAGGAAGAACTTTCTTCCTCGAAAAATAGTCTCTAGGAGAATCTTTTATCCTACGAAAGACATGATTTTTCTTCTCTTCTTCTAGGAAGATTTTTTTTGCTCTGATTTATTACCATAAAATTGTGTCATTGGTGAAGAATAATTATGCAAGATCGCAGATTTTCTAATTTCACTAGTAGAAAAACTTAAATGAGCATCGTAAAATGCGCACCGGTTTTCAAAAACCGGTGCGAAAAAAATAGGCGGAATTGAGGGAAAGAGTAATCGCACCGGTTCTAAACCAAACCGGTGCGAAAATGAGTTAATCGCACCGGTTCAGTTTGAACCGGTGCAAATGCTATTGTAAAAATAAAAAATAAAAAATCGGCCTTTATCTTCTTTCTTTCTCTTTCTGTCTTCTTTCTTTCCCTTTCCTCGATCTCTCCTCCTCTCTCATCTGCCTCTCTCTCATCTACAACAATGGAGCCTCAAACTCCTTCTCTCTCCTTCTCCATAACCGCCGCTTTCCCTTTCCTTTTCTCTCTCCTTCTCCATAACTGCGCCGCAAGCAACGCCGCTCTCCTTCTCCTTCTCAGTCCAAAATCGGCGTCATTAGAACCAAGCACAACCACCTTCGCCGCCGCCGTCAATTTGAACCAAATACAACAACAACAAAAAACTTAAATCAATTATATTCAAAAATCACAAATCCGAGGTTAGGGTTTCTTGGATTTGAAATCTAGGTTTTATGATTTTTTTTTTTATTAACATTGATTATATGAACAATTGAAATTTTGATTGAATTTAATGGTGAGAATGTGAGATGATAGGATTTCTGATTTTATTTATTTTTTTGTAATTATGGTGACGGTGGTCGGTGCTAGTGGTGGTGGTTTCGTGGGTGTGGTGGTTGCGACTATGGTGGTTCGTTGCTTACTCCAGGTAAGTTCTTTTCCCACCTTTAATTGTTCATTATGGATTACTTTTGCTCATGGTAATTGCTCATTCTATTTTGGTACTATGAGGTGCTTTTTTACAGCAAGAATTTGGCTTTATTTGATATCAATGACTTAATTTGGTCCGTACTTGATGGGATCTATTGGTGGATTTCTTGTAATTGCTACTATGTTGCCTTATTAATTTGCTCTTTTAATGAATTTCTTCCGGCATGTTCTTTTGTTGAGAATTTTATTAATATTGTTGGTATACTCCCTGTTTTTTCGTTTGTTGAGAAATTTTAATCAAGTTGTATTAATATTGTTGGTATACTTCTTTGGTTTGCTCTTGCTCTTGCAAGTATTACTCTGTTTTACAACGGGTATTGGTTAATTGTTTTCTCCAATTGTCATCTATGTCTACTACTTGTTATTTTTTCGCCTCTAATTGTCTCCATTTGCAGCAGCTCATTGAGGTTGAGCCTTCTTAGAGTACTTATTAAAAACTTGTTTGTCCATCGTTTTCTTAATTGGGTTGTATAGGAGAAAAAGAATACGATCATTGGACTCATTTTTGGACTTTGGTCCATTCATAATCATATTTCTTTATTGAATTAGTGAAAAAAAATTCCATCCTGTAGAAAGTGAAAAAAAAGTAAAGACACCTGACTGTAATATAGATGCTGACACTTGTCACTTCCTTGTTGCTACTTTGATATAGAAGTCCTACTTGCAGTTATCTTATGTTTTTTACATGTTGGCACTAGTTCACTATCAAGGGGGCACGACAGCTCATTACATATATGAAATCATGTACTAATTGCTTAAAATTCATCGAGAAGAAGGCGTAGCTTTTAAGACTTTGCTGGGTAAAATGAATTGGAGAACTGTAACCTTTCTCCTTATACTCTTCTCTGATGCATTTGTTTGATTTATTTGGCAGCACAAAGTCTTGCTGGGAAGACCATATGCATAGAGTACGTCCAAAGAGGACTTGGTTGCCCGTTAAATCTGTTGGATCTGGTACTCATGTGAAAGGAAAGGTACCATTGGTTGTCTGTGTCACACGTTTGGTTGCTTAGAAAGGTCTTCATTTGATCCGCCATGCTATTAAACATGTTGAAGAACTAGTAAGTCTACCTCACTATTGTTTCTTTATAATGCATTTATTGGTTGTTGCATTGTTGCTTTTCATCTGTCCAATGAGACCTCTCTTCTCTATTTGTCTTGTTGACCTTTGTGCAAAGATGTACAAAGACTTTGAGCTTGTAAAACAGTTTGTAGCACAGCTCAAAGGCTTTTCTTGCTATGAGTTACCAAAACAAAACCCTATTTTTATTGCTCATTATGACAGTATGACTTAGATTTTGTGTATTTGACCTATTAATTGTTCAACCCAAATTATGGACAACTGTACATTATGAATTGAATTCATATTTGGTGCTAGTCCTTTTAATCAACCTGCACATTCTTGTTGCAAAGGTAAAGCTGTATATCCTCATAATTTTTGTATTTGATGTAAAGGTCTTCCAAAACATCTGCGTATTTGCTATTCTGAATTTTTAATGTAGTGTCAAGTTGTATGGTGTCTGCTCTCCAGAGATCTTATAGTTGTTGTTCTATATGGATTCTTTTTTTTTTTAGCTAGGGGTGTTGGGAGGGAGGAATGGGGTGTAGTTGAAATTGTGGAGGGGTGTCAGGTGTGTGAACCAAAACATCTTCATTTGTTCTGCTTTTTGAACCTTGTTTCTTATGACCTTCGTATTTAAATGACATTTTATCTGGAAGTATTTCCTTACATGAATGTTTTGTTCGGTTTCTATTTTCTCTTATATTTGAACTCTTGGCTACCTCATTAACTCATAAAACGCCTTTACAATATTAAATTTGAATGTTGATTGAAATTCATATCTTATTTATAGGGCGGACAGATGGTTGTGCTGGGAAGAGCTTCAAATGGTCAAGTGGAAAAGGAATTTGAAAGCCTTGCGACTTTGGTAATGACCACAATCACTTGAAAGTCGTACTCTGAATTTTCTAAAAATTGAATATTAATTTGAAATATTCGAATAGTGAAACAAGCTTACTCTGTAATTAATTCAGTCGGACCATGATATCTTATTTTTAACATCCTTTATGTGGTCTTGCTTATGAAACTTATATGTTTGAAGCTGTTAAGATTAATTAATTTTTGTTTTATGATTATTGAGAATCAGGAATGAGAGAAGTGGTTGTTCTTTTACCTTCTAGGCACTTAAGCACTTAAACTGGGCTACGTTATTGCAAACTTCTCCTTCGTTTTCATTACATAGCTACATAATTCATACATTTTTCATTAATATGTATGTACTTTTGTACTATTTTATAGGAAAATGCCTTTTGCAAATTGCACTTCAGTTTAAATTTGTTGTTCTCTTCTTGTATTTCCAAGACCCATACTTTGAACAGAATGTGCTAGTTCTTAAGCATTTTAATTTTTTAGTAGGTGTAACAACTTTCTTTAAGGAAAAAAAAGGAATGATACGGGCTGAAACAGCAACATTACTAAAGAGATGAAAGCATGCTATTCATTGTAGTCATATGTACTGTTGTAGAGTCCACTGTTTAATCTTCTCTACCCTTCCCTTTTAAAGATTCATTATTCTTGAAATTTCACATGGAATGTTAAGTATATAAGGAGCTAACTAGTGTTATATATATGTTAGTGTTTCTATATTAATTTAAGTGAAAAAAATGCAAAAAAAAAAAATAAAATTATTTTTATATATTTGGGGCATTAAGGGTGCCGGTTTTGGTTTTGAACCGGTGCCAAAAGTTTTTTTAAAATTTTTCTGGGCCATTATTTGCACCGATTTTGGAACAAAACTGGTGCAAATAACACGTTATTAGCACCGGTTCAACCCAGTGCTAAAGTTTTTTTTTTTTTTTATGGCATCCCTCAAATCTACACCGGTTCAAAACCGGTGCTATATGGGGGTTTTGAACCAGTGTCCTTTTATATTTTTCTACTAGAGTTCTTGAATTCAATAAGATGAAAATAATCCTCATGGCTATAACAAATCGTTAAATTGTGATGTAAGTGGGAGATGTTCTACCCTGCAAAATCAATTCGACGAGCGTTAGTTATACGAAGGATTTCTTTTATTTGATTCAATATGTTATTTATTTGTTAAATTAGAATATGTTTTGTAGATATCGTATAAATTTTTATTAATGAATTTATTATACTATTAAAAAATAAAATTAGTTTTAAATAGGATTTTTTTGGATTTTACCCCCAAAATAACCTACTTTTTGAACTAATCACCCATTGTAAATTTTTTTTATTAACATACGCCCAAAATAAATAAATAAATAAATAAAATAAAATAAAATAAATTATATTTACCACCACCAAATAATTTCAATTAAAAAAAAAAAAAAAAAAAAAAAAAAAAAAAAAAAAAAAAAAAAACCCTTAGGGCTTCCATTAAGTTATTGTAAGATGGGTCAAAGTTACCTTAAAAATATTTAAAGTTACACTTATATACTACAAAGTTACCATTTTCCTCACACCGATTTTACTCTCCTTCATAGCATGTATCCATTGGAAATTATATATTAAAATACAATTAAATTCATTACAAATTAGGAAAAATAGAAAAGAATAATCTCACCTTTATCAATTATATTCAAAATAATCACACCTTTGAATAATCTGAAAATAATCTCACCTCTATCCCCAATCTACTCAAAACAATCCTGTTTACCTACAACTTGTTTATCAGGGTTTTTTTTTTTTAATTTATCTCTCTCCTCCCTACCCTCTTTCATGGCAGCAACCATGACCACCACCTCCTCCTTCATATCCAACAACACTCCATAACCACCATCTCTAACCACACCACCACTGGACCCCACCTTCGAACATCCAACCCCACCCGACACCTGACCCCTCCCCACTTGGACCGGCATACCTCCCTCCCAACCCAACCCTGAAACCCCTTCAATCCACCTCTCCACAGCCGGCCACCGCCCTCTTCACCGCCCCACCTACAATACCAATTGTTCTTGGTTATTTTAATCTAAATCAAGCGTGCACAACAAAATCAATTAAGTAGACTTTAGGAAAACTTCAATAATATTATACTTGCAAATTGCTAAATGGAAAAGTTAAAATAATTGGTAGCTTATTCTTAAATTTTGATTCATGGCCATAGCTCCATATCATAATGCCCTCACACACTGACACACCTACTACGAAATTTTAACGGTGGCGGGGAGTGGGACGGCAGGTGGGATGGTTATTAGGGAGTGGGAAGAAGGTGAGGCTGCTCCGGCATGGGTGGGACGGTGGTTGGGCTCCGTTCGGGTGGGGGATCGGGAAGAGGGAAGGGGAAGGAGGGTGCTGAGTTTTGTTTTTTTTTTGTTTTAATTATATTTAATTTTTGCTTTTGGTTTTTATATTTTTTTTTTTTAAAAAAAAAAGACTAATAAGAAGGTGACACATGGAAATCACCTTCTTTAACAGGTTACCAAGTCAACAAACTAGTTAAAGGACTATTTTCAGCATATAGGATATAAAGATATGGATTATATCCAGATTATTCAAAGGTGAGATTATTTTGATCAGAAGTGATAAAGGTGGGATTATTCATTTCAATTTTTTCTACAAATTAAAAGTTATCATTAAAGGGATTAAAGTTACCATCAAATTGATAGTCTTACAATAAAATTAATGTAAACCCGTCTTATACAAGACTTATTGTTCACCACCACCCAACACTTTCCATGAATTGTTCGCTGATATGTTCCTTTTGTTGGCTGATATTTGTATTTTGTTGGCTAATATACATAATATCACATCCAGCTATAGAGAATATCATCGAACTTATAGATAACATCAATGAATGATATCATCCAACTTATAAATGATATCATCCAAACAATTAATCATTCATCCAAACAATAAATAGTATCATTCAACCTAGAAATTAAAGATGTCATCCAAACAATTAACCATGTCATTTAACCAATCAATCATATCATCTAACCTAAACACTAAAAGCAATTGTTGGTCCGTACACCCGGATGTACCATGCGCATGGTACACTTGAATTAAAGCGGAAAGAACATAGTAAATAGTTATAAAGAACATCATGAATTTGTAAAGGAACATATCACTAAAATATAAAGAACACAGTACTTTTTCCTGAGAACAGTTTTTTTTAAAAGGTAAAAGGTAATTATTAATTGATTTTTACCAAAAATTTGATGTTAAATCATTTCAAAATATTCAGATATCAATAATTCATCTATTTACAATTATTTTCACACAAATATAATTCAAAATTTTCATTATTAAATTTCAAAAATTCAAAATTCAAAATATAATAACATATTATTCAAGTAAAAAGAACATAATTTGTATTATTGATACCCAAAGAACATGACCAATTTATATACCTTAGAGAACATTTTTTGTAACGTAAATAACATATAGTTTAGACTCAAAGAACATATTGATCAAACTCCAAAAACTTATTTCATTCCAATTAAAAAGTGATAAAAGAACTTTTATCAAAATATAAAAAAAATCATCTTCAACCTTAGAAATTAAATATCACCAAAATAGAAAAGTAGCTAAAAAAAATTGAAAAATACCTTTTCTCTCAACGACGAATTTGTCAATTACATCTTTCAATTAAAAGATTCATCGAAACAATATAATCAACTTCGTTATAACATTAAATCACTTCAAAATTCAAATTTTACCATGATTTCTCTTTTATATAAACTCAATTTCTCTCTCTTAACAAAAAATGAAATTTTGTTTATCAAAAGTAATATAAAATGTAAATAATAAATCAATTATATGAATCAAGGAATATAAATAACAAATCAATCCTTTAAATCAAGGAGAGAATAATTTTGATTTTGATTTTTTTTTTTTTTGTTTTTTTGCTCGTGTATTGTAGTTGTATACAATGTTCATTCCGCGTTTTTATAACTCTTATATTTTGACCGGGTGTATGATAAAATTTTCACACAAAAAGATAGCATCCAAATAATTAATCGTATCATCTAAATAATGATTAATATCAAAAGACGTCATCCAAACAATTAACCATGTCATCTAACCAATCAATCATATCATCTAACCTAAATCTAAAAGATAGCATCCAAACAATTAATCGTATCAAAAGATATCGTCCGAACAATTAATCATATCATCCAAACCATGAATAATCATCTAGCCAATTAATCTTATCATCTAGACAATTAACCAACTACTTCAAACTAACAGTAAATGGCAAACCAAAATTTGATAAATCGCAACAAGCATGTTCTTCAGCTTGAACAAGAAGCTGCTAGACTAGAGAAAGACGGCACTGACGCTTTCTTTTGAGCCTCCCCGTACTCCGACGCCACAGCACTCTTGAAACTAATTGATTAATTAACTAATCCTGGTATGCGGCATTCCTCAGTTTCAAGAAGTTGCTGATCTGACAAAAACTCTGAAGCGGATCACTGATTTACAGCCGTCTGATTTAGCGGCACTGATTTCTTCAACTTCATCCCACGCTACTTTACAGCCGTCTGATTTTTTGTCTTCACTCAGAATTGCTTATAAATTCTTGCTTAAATCAATCTCTATTTCTGGTATTCAATCTTCAATAACCTTAAACAGGATAAATCAGAATTTATCAAATAAAATTTCGCTAATATAAAACTAAATTGAATCAAACCAAATGCATTTCAAATTCTTCAAATGTGAAACTATTTGCTATATATAAATGACATAATTTATCATAATTTACTTAAAATTCAAGAATTCGCTGGAAATTAAAACGAATTATATCAGATAATCACACGTCTTTTATTATCAGTAATAATCTGTTCAATTCTTAACCTAATTTTGCAGAAATCGTAAGATATAAACGCAAATTCATCTCAGAATTCACAAATGGAAAATTCGTATGATACGATTGAAAATGCAACTAGAAAAAAGCGAAAATATTATTAATAATCTAATCTCTTCATACTTCTAATTTTTTTGCAGGAATTTCACTTCATTTCATCCAAAATTTCTACCTCCTTTAATCAATTCCAGAAAGCATTGATAACTTAGACTACAAAATTCAAATATAATTGAGTGATTTTCCAGATTATTAATGACGTTAATAATTTCAAATTACGAACAACACACAGAAGATACATCACGAGGATAGACATTATTTATGCTAAATTTCGTCAAGTGGGATTGAATAACAAAATCTAGGTTACGAATCAACTAGATAAAACTTTAAACGAAAGCAATAAGAAAATAAAGAAACGACACAAGGAATTGGTGATGCGAAAAACCCAAAGAAGGTAAAAACCGCGGGTAGAATGAGGATCCACCAAACTTTCACTATGTAAAATATTGAACGAAAAAGGATTACAATGTATGATCAATGTATTTTAGTAGCTAGGTTGCAATGTGTCTAATGTCGATGGTGCCTTCCCTTCATATAGACGATTTTTAGGGTTGATAGTAGTTGTTGCAAGGTGATAAGGTGAGCTCCTTGTTTTGCGGCAACTACCTCTTGATTCATGGTGTTGAGCTTATCCAGTAACAGGTTAATTCTGCTGGAGGGTAGACTGAGTCTTGGTGCTTATCACTTCCTAGAAAATAGGGGGGGGGGGGGGGGGGTTGTTATCCGTGCTTCCTCCGTCGAGTCTTGTGTTTTAAACATCGATGCTTACTCTTCGTCATTGACCCCTACTGACTTGCGTTGACTTTGACTCACTCAAATTTGTCCATAACAATTTGCCCCTAATTGCTTAATGTGGGCAGCTATGTACATGTATAGCAATTAAAACTATAAAAACAAGATAATTCAGAAACAAAAATCAAAAAATCAAAACTAACAGATTTAAAATATTGATTACTCAAGGGCATAAGCGTCCTTCTGCCTGGCGCACTAACTCGAGAAGTTACTTCAACTTCCTACTTCTTCAATTAACCGTCATTTCAATCCTTTATTATTGCTGCACGTTTTCCCACTTCCCCAAAATTACTGCACTCTTTCTCTCTCTTCTTTCTCTCTTTTCTTCTTTCCTTTACACAAAAGTTTTTGAGCGAATTCTTAGGCAGTGAACAGCAGCGGTCCTTCGATTCTAGATCCCAGCAACTTCAATTGACAGGTAATTTCTTCAATTCTCTATTTACTTAATTAATTTCGGCGAATGTCAAGTAGTATTCCTAAAGCTAGGTCTAGGTTTTCACTTCAAGTTGTTGAGAAGAGGGGAACAATTGTTTCACAGAGGAGAACGATGACTAGGTCGGAGTCTCTGATGACGCCAGACATGATGGAGGGCTTCATAAAAATGGCAGGATTTCCTGAAACCGCTTTTTCCCACGTTCCAGGCAAGGGTATGAAAGTGGAGAACTGCCCAAAAGGGTTTGTCGTTTTCCTTAGATATCCATTCTTGGAGACAGGGGCGGTGTTTCCGTTTAAGCCTTTAACCAAATCTTTTTTCGATGTGCTTGGGTTAAGCCCTGGGCAGTTGATGCCGTCTAGTTGAAGGATTTTGTCGGTTTTAGCGGAAATTACCAAGGATTGGGAGGAGTCCTTTACTTTGGAAGATCTGGTTGAAGCTTATGATATTAAGATGAGGAAGGATTGTTTTGTGAGTTTACACAAGAGGGGTAAACCGTTGGTTTTGAACACTAATTGCAATGATAGGGGTTGGGCTCAGTACTTCGTTTTCGTCAAGAAGACGTCACTTGGTACTGACGGAACGTGGTTGACGGAGGGTAGGCTAGATAAGGGTAAGTATTTTTCTTCGTGTTTAATATTTAGGACTAAGGTTTTTTGAATGTTTGATCTTGTTTCTGTTTTTCATAGATCTTAATCTCGATTTTCTCGAGCCGACGGAGAGATCGTCGTCGAAGATAAAGCGGATTTTTGAGGCGGGGCACGCGAAAAGGACTTTCGAAAGGACGAGACACACTCTAGGTGAATCGTCGGGTCAGACACACAAGGAATTACTAAGCACCTCTCAGAGAGTCGGGGATTCTGAGGAAACAATGTCTGATGGTAATTCATTTATCATTTTCGTCGTTTCGATTGTTGATATCATTGTCCTTTTGTTCACGCATTCATGCATTTGTTCGGTGTGTTCATTTCCGTCAGGGTTTGCAGCGCAGGGTGGTCATCGAGGAAGAAACACATCCCAGGCCGAGAAGGACGCTAGGATGAGGAGGAAACGTGGGTTGGTGCCTCAGGAGGCGTTGCCGTCGTTGGCAGTGGATCGGACGGAGCAACTTCGTACTATGTCGCCGTAGAAAGTTGGTGGTACAGTTGTTGCGATTCACGTGGCGTCGTCTTCCCCGCATAAACAACAGAAGATACACGATGATCCAGTGTCTCAAGACATAGAGATGCGTTTTCCTGCTGATTTTCTTAGTCTTACCAAGGAGACCCATCAGCCTCTTTTCCCACAACTAAACCAATTATTGTTTCCAGGTTCCTGAGATCACTAGGCCGGGACTTCTACTTTGGACATTACATCAGAGGCTGCTTCCTTTCATCTCTATGTGAGTTTCTTTCTTTTGGTTGTTTTTTGTTGGCAATGTATATTCAGTTTGTAATTTGAGACTTGTTGGTTTTAGACAGTGTTTGCAAAATTCTCAAGTTTTGAGGGATAGGGTGATCGGGTTGGCTAAAGAGATGAAGAGGTTAGATAATGTTGCGAAGAATAATGAGGCTAAGATGAAGACTACAACGAGGCAATTCTTGACTGTGAAGAAAGAGTTTGACGAAGCGTCTAAGAAGGTGAACGAACTAGAGAGCCGTCTAGAGGAGCAGTCAAAAAAGATGGAAGAGCAAGCCCAACGGCTGAAGGACTAAGCCAAGCAATGGAAAGAGCAAGCCCAGCAATTGGATGACAAGGCTGTGACTATCCAGGATTGAGATGAGGCATTGTCGAAGGTGAATGGAGAGTTGTCGTCAGCCAAGAAGGAACTGGACGACGCTTTGGATGAGAGTGCTTAATTAGAAATCAAGCTAAGGGCTCAGCTGATGAAGGAGTACCTGGATGGAAAGGCTACGGAATGACGTCCCCAGGAAGACAACAATCACTTTTTGGCCAACGGAGGAGGGACTTTTGCCGAGCTGGGAGAAGATGCTGCCATGGTTTCGACTGCGGATTCGAGACCCCATCCGTCAAACATTGTTCCTCCGTCCACCGACGATGCTGAAGCGCAACCGACAGTTGGTGAAGGCGTTGGAGATAATACTCATGCCGACGAGATCGTCAAGGATGTTGTTGAGGATGTTGTCGAGGATGTAGTCAAGGAGCTGAACACTGGTGATAATGCTGCTGAAGATGCTGATGTTTGAAGCTATTGCTTGTGATGGTTTCTCTTCCTTTTGCTATGTATTTCTGTTTCGTACTCTGACATTTTATCTTTTTGGTCGGATATTTTCCCGTTGTGGTTTTGAATTTTCTTGTTTCGGATTTCATTGCTTTGTGCTCCACTTGGTGGCAAGTGGTTCTTTTGAACGCTGTTATGGTACTTTTCCTTTGTTTCGTCTGTTGTCTTTTAGTGTAAGGCAAAAAAAACTTTATAAGTTAGACAAAAAACAAAGAGGATTTTTAGTTGGACGAAAGGAGTTAAGCAAATATTAAAATACAGGAAAGAGCCATTTAGTAAAGTATTTATTAGGCTGTTTGAAATAAATTAGACAATGTAATAGACAAAAAATGTTAAACTTGGTAAAAAAACATATTTTATTGATTTGTCAACGTACAATGTATTCGTCGAAGGCTATATATACTCGAGTTTAGGCCTTCGTTGTTTGCCAATGCTCCTTGCGTCCCAGCGTCGACGCTGAACACTGAAGACTAAGTTCATAATTTAGGTGTCGGGTGTTTTGCGTCAGACGCTTAGGTCGGATTTGCCCAAGCTTCGTTTTGTTTCTGTGTTTTCGTTTGAACGAAGACTTTCTTCATCCTTTTGAAGGATGTCAGTGTAGCCAACGTCGATTGCCATTATGTCATTTTCTGTGATTTCTGGTCATGACCTGAGTTCTCTATTTCGTCGATGTATGTTTCGTCGATCGATGTTCTACAAAACCAACATGGTTAGAGTACCGTTGTGCCAACGACCCTCCGATGCTTAAGTCAAAATTCGTAGTAAAAATAAGTAATCAAATGTAAATAAATCAAATGTAAGATCGGGGATGTTACCTTATCGTCGATGAATACTCTTTTGACACTTTAGAAGTAGTAATTTCTGAGATGGTTGTTTTCCAACTTCTTAGAACGGGTTTACCTTGCTGGTCGCACAGTCGATAAGCGTCGTTGCCGATGACTTGGGTGATCTCATACGAGCCTTCCCATAGGGGGGCTAGCTTGCCGTCGGCCGGATCTTTAGTGTTTTGGAATGTTTTTCTTAGTACCCAGTCACCTAGCTGGAACGTCTTTGCCTTGAAATTTTTGTTGAAGCTTCTTGCGACTATTTGTTGCTGCACTGCCATCCTAATTAGGGCCGTTTCTCGCAGCTCTTCGACCGCGTCTAGGTTGTTCTCCATTTCCTCTTGGTTTTTGTTTTCCGTCATCAGACCGAATCGGGATGTCGGAAAGTCGACTTCTACTAGGAGGACGGCTTCGTATCCATAGACAAAGGAGAAAGGCGTCTGTCCTGTTACAAACCTTGGCGTCGTCCGGTTGGCCCATAGGACGGCTGGGAGCTCGTCGGCCCATCTGCCTTTCGCTGCTTTAAGCCTATTTTTGATCGCGTTCATGACAGCTTTGTTGTTGGATTTTGCCTGTCCATTAGCTTGAGGATATCTTGGTGTTGATGTTCTTAGTTCTATCCGGAATTTCCTACAAAATGAACGAGTCTTGTCGCTAATAAACTACGACCCGTTGTCACAAACTATCACCGACGGAAAGCCAAACCTTCAAATTATGTTAGTCCATAAGAACGAAATGACTTCTTTGTCCCTCATCTGCTTCAAGGCAATTGCCTAAATCCCTTTAGAGAAATTATTTGTTAGTGCTAGCATGTAAACTCTTTGTCCTAGCGCAGCAGGTAGCTTTCCGACGATGTCCATCCCCCATCTCATGAAAGGCCATGGAGACAAGATTTGATGCTTAGATTTCGAAGGTTTGTGGACTGTGCTGGCGAATCGTTGACAGCTATCACACTTAGCGATGTACTGGATGGCGTCTTCATGGAGTGTTGGCCAGAAGTACCCTTGTCTTTTCGCCAGTGTGGCTAGTCCTCTGCCCCCGACGTGACTGCTGTATATGCCGTCGTGCAAGTGGCTGAGGATAGATTATTGCTCATGACTTTGGATACATCTTTGCGATAATCCCGACGCTGATTTATGGAACAAGACTCCATTAATGACATGGTATATGGAGTCTTTGTGTCTCAGTTTTCAGGCTTCTATTTTGTCGTCGGGAAGGGTGTTGTTGGTGAGGTAATGTATAAGTGGCTTGGTCCAGTCGTCGTCGACGGGGAGGATTGCTTTTATGGAGTACGGAAGGTTTTTGTAGGTGGACTGAGGGAATCGACGTAAAGGTAGTCTTTTTTAGTGCGGAGGCTAAGTTTGCAAGTGAGTCAGCTTGGGAGTTTTGGTTTCTTGGAATATGTTGGATTGCGAAAGGGTTAAAGTGTTTGGCTTTTTCCTTGGCTACTTTGAGGTAGGTTGTCATTTTGGAGTCTTTTGCTGTAATGTCTCCTGTCATCTGGCTGACGATGAGGAGGGAGTCACTGTATACATCTAGGGTTGTTGCCCCTAAGTCTTTGGCGACGATCATTCCTGCAATTAGTGCTTCATATTCTACTTTGTTATTTGTTGCTTTGAAATCACAGGATATGAATCGCACTATCATGTCCCCTTATGGCGACTTTAGCACCATTCCCAGGCCAACTCCTCATTGATTGGACGATCCGTCGACGAACAGAATCCATTTGCTTTCTTTGCCGACGCTGTTTATTTCTTCCACTTCTTTGTCAGCTACGGCCTGCAGATCAGGACTGAAGTCAGCCACAAAATCAGCCAGAGGTTGTGACTTGATTGCTCTCCGGGGCTGATACTTGATGTCGAGTATACTCAGTGAAATGCTCCATTTGCCCATACGTCCTGTCAACTCTGGTTTACTCAAAACAGACTTGATAGGGTAATTAGTCATCACTACTACGTGGTGGGTTTCAAAATAATGCCTTAACTTTTTAACAGCAGTAACCAAAGCAAGAACAAGTTTTTCAAGAGATGAATACCTTACCTCGGCCAGGAGCAGGGTTTTACTTACATAGTAAACTGGTAACTGCCCTGCGTTATCGTCTTCTCTGGTCAGAAAAACACTGACGGCGACGGGACTGACGACAGTGTACAGCTACAAAGGCTCGTTAGCTTTTGGTTTCGGCAGGAGGAGTGGCGTCATAAAATATTTTTTCAGGTCCCGTAATGTTTTCTCATGATCCTCGGTCCATTCAAAGCCTTTATTCTTTCGTAATTATAAAAAAGATGGCATTTGTCCGACGATCAAGAAATAAAGCGGTTTAACGTTGCCACTCGTCTTGTTAATTTCTGGGTTTCCTTAACGTTTCGGGGGGATTGAATGTTTATTAAGGCCTTGACTTGGTCGGGACTAGCTTTAATTCCCCTTTGCGTTATAACATAACCAAGAAAATTACAAGCAGATACTCCATAAGAATATTTAGTAGGGTTAAGTTTCATACCATACTTACACAAAACCTCAAACATTTGACGAAGGTGGTCGACGTGGTCCTCTGATTTTTTGGATTTCACTAGCATGTCGTCGATATACACCTCCATCGTGTTGCCTAACTGGTCTTTGAACATTTTGTTGACGAGTCTCTGTTATGTTGAACCTGCATTTTTTAGTCCAAAAGGCATAACTTTATAAAAATATATACCCCTGTCTGTCATGAAGGCTGTTTTTTCCTGATCGTCGGGATGCATGAGAATTTGATTGTATCCGGAGTAGGCGTCCATGAACGTTAAGAGCTCGTGACCTGCTGTTGCATCTACCATGGCGTCGATGTGCGGCAACCAAAATGGATCTTTGGGGCATGCTTTATTGAGATCAGTGAAGTCGATGCATACTCTCCATTTGCCATTCTTCTTGCTGACTACGACTACGTTTGCAAGCCAATTTGGATATTTCACTTCTCTTATTTTCCCTGTATCGATCAGCTGCTGCACTTCATCATTGATGATCGTGTTTCGTTCTGGGGCGAATTTTCGACGGTTCTGCTTCACGGGCTTGTGATTTGGATCGACATTTAACTTGTGAGAGATGACGCTTGGATCTATTCCCGTCATATCCTCTTGCGACCAGGCGAAACAGTCTTTATTCTCTCGGAGAAAGGTTAGGATGGTGTTTTTGAGTTCAGGTGTTAGGTTGGCTCCGACAAGGACAATTTGATCTGGTTTTTCAGGGCCTAGAGGTATTTCGTTGATTTCTAGGTCGTTGGGATTGTCTGGTGTCGGGCCTTGCTGTAATTGCTAGGTGGATTTCATGCATGGTTTCAAGGTTGTTTTGTAGCAGTTTTTGGCTTCACGGGGTTCTCCTTTAATCTCTTGGAGTCACAGGGAGTTGGAAATTTGAGGGTTTAATGGTAGGTGGAAGGAATGGCTTTTAGTTTGTGGATCCATGGTCTGCCCCATGATGGCATTATAGGCTGAGGGACAGTCTACGACGTTAAATTTGGTTTGGGGGTTTTACCTAGTTGTGTCCCCACAAACGGGGCCAAATTGTTTATGCTAAATTTCGTCAAGTGGGATTGATTAACAAAATCTAGGTTAAGAATCAACTAGATAAAACTTTAAACGAAAGCAATAAGAAAATAAAGAAACGACACAAGGAATTGGTGACGCGGAAAACCCAAAGAAGGTAAACACTGCGGGTAGAATGAGGATCTACCAAACTTTCACTATGTAAAATATTGAATGAAAAAGGATTACAGTGTATGATCAATGTATTTTATTAGCTAGGTTGCAATGTGTCTAATGTCGATGGTGCCTTCCCTTTATATAGATGATTTTTAGGGTTGATAGTAGCCGTTGCAAGGTGATAAGGTGAGCTCCTTGTTTTGCGACAACTACCTCTTGATTCATGGTGTTGAGCTTGTCCCAGTAACGGGTTGATTCTGTTGGAGGGTAGACTCAGTCTAAGCGCTTATCACTTCCTAGTAAATAGGGGGGTTGTTATCCGTGCTTCCTCTGTCGAGTCTTGTGTTTTAATTATCAATGCTTACTCTTCGTCGTTGACCCCTGCTGACTTGCGTTGACTTTGACTCACTAAAATTTGTCCATAATAGACTCTGTTAATCAAAATCATTCAAACCAAAACAACAACAATCAAAATCAAATACGATGGAGATCAAAAGCTAAACAACAAACTTACTCATCAAAACAAGATTTCGCTGTCTAAGAAATCGATTTTAGTAAAATGTTGATCTTTGATGTGTTGATCACCGATTGATTTTAGAGATTTGGAAAAAAAAGGGGGAAAATCGTAGGTTTTGCTTGAAATCTAAACACTACTAGAAACAAGCCGATTTCCGACGGACATGTTTTCCCTCGTAAATTTCCGACGGATTTTTATTCCGTCGGAAATTTACGACGGATTTCCTACGGAACAAAAATCCGTTGATATTAATGGGCCTTCCGACGGAATATTCCGTCGAAAACGTAAGGTTTAGACGGAAATAAAATCCGTCGGAGCTTTCCGACGGAATATTCCGTCGAAACAATTATTTTCCGGCGGAAATTAATTCCGTCGGAATATATTTACATAATAAAAAAAACCTAACAAACCCTAATAAACCCGGTTTCCCCTCCCCCTAAAATGCCTATTTTCTCTCTCCTCTCCTCTCCACCTCTCTTCTCTCTCTCTCTCTCCTCTCTTCTTTCCTCTTCTCTTCTGTTCTCTTTCTACTCCATTTCTCCTTCTCCTTCCTTCTCTTTCCTTCTCTTTCTCCTCCATTTCGTCTTCTCCTTCCTTCTCTTTCTCCACCATTCCGCCTTCCTCAACAACAACACAACAACCACACCAACGCGCAGCGACAACAACCACCTCAACGACAACAACAACACCAGCAGGCAGCCGCAATGACAACCACCACAACTGTAGATCTAGGTTTTTTTTTTAAAATAATCAAATTCTGATTAATTTCGTATGATAATTGTAAGATAAATTATTTTTTGGGATAATTGTAATGTTATTTTTATTAATTTCGTATGATAATTGTAAGATAAATTATTTTTTGGGATAATTGTTTGATTTCAATTTTTTTTGTTTAATTTTTTCGATTTTTCGATTTCGGATGTTTGGGTTCGGTCGTTGGTTAGGGTGGGTGGTTGGTTAGAGTGGGTGGGGTAGGTTTGTTCTGGGTTGGGGTGGTGGGGGGTCTAGCCTGGGTTAGGTTGGGTTGGGGTGGTGGGTGGTGGTCTGAGTGGAGGGGGGTTCTGGGTGTGGGGGGGTTCTGGGTGGTTGGTTAGGGTGGTTGGTCATGGTGGGTTTTGGTCTAGGTTGGGTGGGTGGGGGGTGGTCTGGGTGGGTAGTGGTCTGGGTGGGGGGTGGTTGGTGGGGGGTGGTCTGGGTGGGTAGTGATCTGGGGGTGGTGGTCTAAGGGGGTGGTGCTGGGTGGGTAGTGGTCTGGGGGGTGGTGCTAAGTGGGTTTCGGTGAGATGGGTGGGTGGTCTCGGTGGGTGGGGGCTGTTTTTTTTTTTCTGTTGAATTTTCCGACGGAAAATTCTTCTTCCGACGGAAAATTCCGTCGGAATATGCCGTTTTCGACGAAAAATTCCGTTGGAATATGCCGTTTCTGACGGAAAATTCCATCGGAAAATTCCGTCGGAATCCACTTCAACTCCGACGGAAAATTCTGCTGGAAATTTGCGACGGAATTACGGTTAAAGTCAAAACCAGCCCCGACAGAATGTATTCTGTCGGAAATTCCGTCGGTAGGGCCTTTTCCGACGGAAAATCCCTCGGTATAAACCAAATTTCCTACAAAGGGGTTTCCGACAACGTGTTCCGACAGAAATCCGTCGGAAACAGCCCTTTCCGATGGATTTATAAGGTGTAGCGACGGAATTTTTCCGTCGTAAATAAGGTGTTTTCTAGTAGTGAAATGGAGATGAGAGAGCATAGCTGCAATTGAAGGAAATTCAAGGGCTTCTTCAGCAGCAGTGGTGGTGTTTGCGGTGGCGGGTAGAGGAGATATAAGAGAAGAAGTGTTAGGCGAAGAGCTAGAGCACAGAGTATTTGAGATGTTCAGCGTCGTTGATTATGAATTTTACAGACGCGGTTTCATGATGGTGTGATTATATTGCGGCTTTACAAATGCAAGTGACAACAATGCCTGTCTCACAAACAGAAGCCTCACCCAATAGTTTGTGATAAGTAATTATGTTCATGTTCAGTTCAACAACTGAAATGCTATTGTATCAAAAAAGAGATCACTATGTATTACACAAATTCTTATATGTGGTAATGTGACCAATCATCATGGAGGTTACTTCGTTAGTATTATAAGAGTTACCCAGTCAGTGTTACAGGGGTTATTTCATCAATCTTGTGGGGTTACTCGATCAATATTATAGGGATTATGCGATCCATGTTACATGAGTTACTTTGTTCTTTTACAAGCGATCACATGATGTGTCGAACCACACACAAAACGCTCTGTATGTAGTATTGAAAAGAAAAAAAAAGTTTTAAGGGCAAAATACTAAGAGGGTGTTTGTTTAGGGGGATTGAAGGATGGGATAAGGATAAAAGATGGGAATAGAAGAAAAGTAGTGTTATTTAGAGGGATGGGGATTAGAATGGGTTAGGGATAGGGATAAAAACACCCACTTATCCCTCAATTTCTATAACTAAGGGGTTGGAATAAGGGGAAGGGATATAAGTGAGTTGAAAAATACCAAATTACCCTTAATTAAATTGAAAAGGTAAGGAAAAAGGATAGAAGTTAGTAAGACTATTTTTATAATTTTATTACTTATTTATTTCCTAATTACCAAACGATAAATATTGTCCTTGTCCCACCTATTAATTCCCTATCATTATCCTCCGTTCTTATTTCTCTTATTTTTATCCCTCCAACCAAACGCCCTGTAATGACACTATAGGAGCAAAACTAAACACCAAGATATCTAGATTATTGCCCTTTATTTAGTTTTTTTTTTAAAAAAAATTAATTAAAAAAACCAAGTACTGTAATTAACTTTGTGGTATAAAGTATAAACCCACTCACAATAATTTTGCCTATATCAACATCTCCATCAACAACAAACATAAAACACTTAACCAAATTCCCAAACTACAAGTCTACAATATCATTCTCATTCGGTGGAGTTTCAAGTCTTGTAACACACTCTCTCTCATCATTCATCACTGAAACACATCCAATTTTCTAGAGAGAGAAAACCATGGGAAAAGAAGAAGCTTTGAAGTTTGACAAATGGGGATATCCAGTCAATACTACTTCTAATCACTGTATTTCTGCCATTAATGATTTCTATGAACAGGTTTTCTTCTCTTGATCAATCCCTTTCTTTTTTGGGATTAATTTTTGAATTAATTGTTATTTAATTGTTGTGTCCGCAAGGATAAATGACGTAGACGGGATTTGATCACGCGTTGTTGTGAAGTTAATTGATTAATTGGGTTGTGTTTAATTTGATTGAAGGTGTTGAATTATGGGAGAAAGAGGTCAATCATATTGGATGCTCCAGTTCATGATGAAAGCTGTGTTTTAGGGAATACGTTGGCTGCACATTTCTCTTTTTCTAGTCACCCTTCTGAAGCTCTTTCATTTCTTCAATCTGCCAAGTCCCACTATGTAAGTTTTTTTTTTTTTTTTTTTTTTTTTTTGTAAAAAAAACCCCTTTTGTTACTCTAATAATTAATTTTAAAATTAATTGCTAATTGTTGGGATTTAACTGATAGTTGCGATTTTTAATTTGTTGGGGTTTATGATGTAGGATGAAGCAACAGTTTATGAGAAAGCAGTGTTTGATGCCGTTTCTTGTATAATTTCTGATGATACGGATGATGATGTAGCACTTGAGTTCCATTTTAAGGTTTGATTTTATTTACTGATTCTTCAGAAATTTGTTTAAATAACGTTACTTTGTTTAACAATTGATCATGTCCTGGTTTTGGATTTTGTTTTTATTCGTTACATTTTGGAGTGGTCCTATGAAGGCTATGATGTTTAGTTTACTAAATTATACTCAGATTATTTTGTTCAGATTTATTAGTTTTGTCATTAATTAACCCGGGAGAAGGAAAATAGATTCTTAATTACGAAAATCTGACTTCAATCCTTAATATCTTTAATTGTTTTATTGTTTAAACTAAAATTATGTGGTTTAAAAATATATGTATCAAGATGAATCTAATGAGATCCAACATAACTATGATTTTATTACGAAGTTTGTATAAATAGCACACGATGGTCAAAATGAGTGGATAATTAGTGTGTAAAGTCAAATGGAATACCTAGTAAAACGGAAAGAGTATATGATTTCTTCTCTATTAAACAGATAGTGTTGATATGACTTTTGAGTTGGGGCTAAAGATTGAATACAATTGCTCATTAGTGCTTCCAAGCTAGCTAGATTAAAGAGTCTGATCTACTTTGATTCTGTGTTGATAAACTTGATATGTCAAAGCATTCAAGTGTCAGGCCATAGCAAGGGGTAGTATCATTGTAGGAGTGGAGGTTGGACTTAAAATTACAAGTTATGTAAAGCGAAGTGTATCACGTCTTTGGAATTTGTGAGATCTGAATTTTAACTAGTACTTGTATGATTTAGCAGCATAAAACTTCTTAAGATTTTAGTTTTTTGTAAAAGCCAGATGATTAGTTATTTCTGAGCTGTCTTTGCATATTTTTGGTTGACAGTTATTAAGGGATTTCCCAAAGGATCTATCCTCCTTGAAGAGGGCTCAAATACTTTGCTTCTACATGGGGCAGCCTAACCCTTCTCTTGATCTAGTGCAGCAGGTTCTCTTTCTAATGAACATTAATACATTAGTCTCTCTGGTGTTTCTGATCAAACAAAACACAGGATTACTCTACTTGTATACCTGAACCTGTGATTGACTTCGGAACTTTGCTACCGATTTCGTTGATCCACTTAGGTACTACCCGAGAATGAAGAGGAAGCTTACATTTATGGCATGCTTTCTTTTCCTCTGTTGGAGCTCGGACAGATGGAGGAAGCTGAAAGAGCTGCTAGAAAGGCACTTGAGATCAACAAGCAAGATGTTTGGGCACAACATTGCGTGAGTCAAACCTTTTAGCCGTTTTTTCAGAAATTTGAAAGTACCTTTACTTCAGTATGTCATATGTACTTGACTCTTTTATCAATTTCCATTTTGCTGTTAGGCCTAATCTAGTCGAAGCCTCAGCATAATGGTACTGGATCTATACCCATTTCTCTTCAATTGGGTTCAATTCTCTGTCGTTTCATTCCTGTAAGGCCATAGTCCATATTATAGGCTTAGTAGCAAGTGACTTGGTGTATGAGGAACTCAATTTTTGCATTTGCGCCAATTTGAATTTGTTGTCAGATAAAAATTTTAGTGTGCTGTGTGTATCATGGTGATGGAACATCAGCTAATACATTCTGTCAATGCAGCTGTGCCATGTTCTTCAACATGAATGTCGTTTCGCTGAAGCTGTACAGTTCATGGAAGATTGCTCGCCTTCATGGAGTTCCTGTTCGTCATTCATGTATTAATTTTGTTAGCATTGCAATCTCCTTCATGAGTCTATCCTGTCAATGCTACTCTGTACATCTGATTTATAATACAAAGTATTGGATAACTTCCCCTTGTCATCCTGTGCTAAGGACTAGTAATTGGCCCCCAGGTACACACATAATTGGTGGCACGTTGCTCTATGTTACTTGGAAGGTCATTCTCCGGTTGCAAAGGTCTTAGATGTGTATGACCATTGTATCATGAGGGAAATAGATAGAACTGATGCAACACGCCCAGAGGTTTAGTAATTTTCCCTTTTGTTACATGATACTTGTATATATATTCCAAGTTCATTTTTTTTTTTCCAATTTGTTTGTTTTTTTTTTATAAAAAAAATAATTTTTGTTTTTGTTTTTGGGTTTCAGGTTTATTTAAATGCATTGGGATTACTATTGAGATTACATATACGAGGTCAAATAAGTCTATTTGAGGATCGTTTGAAGAATTTAGCTGAACTTTTGACTGATAAAGTGAGTAAAGTGATTAACTTTCTGCAGTGTATTTCCAAAACCTTCAACAAATATAGCAGTAGTTTGAAATATTTTTGAGGTGTTGGACTTATAGTTTTGTATTGCACAATGTTTTAATGCCTCATATGGCAAGGTTTTTGAAATTTCTTTATTACAAACTAATACTCCATTTTTGTGTATGAAAATTATGTCTGAGTACTTGTCATTTAAAAATTGTCGAAACTTTTTGCAAATACCTTCTTAGTAAAGTCTCTTTCTTTTACTTTTTGGAAATGTTTTATTTTCAGACTAAGTTTCGTGCTAATGTTATGTTCAGAAAGAGAATTACAGTAACTAATACTTGCTGCTTCTTGGTTGTGTTAGTCGCTTTGGTACTTGGAATGGCAGCTTGATTTGTTTATATTATGGGCTTTAACAAATACGGATAAGCTTCCTGCAGCACAAGAGTTGCTTAAAGGCTTGAAGCTCAGGTCAGAAATTTGGAAATCTTTTCCTTTCTTTGTGCATTGTCTTGAATGAATAGAGACCTGACTTACATTATTTTTTATGTAGAGTGTCAAATATGAGCGATAAGAAGCAGCAGCAGTTTCAAAGAGGGCTCTCTGTATGTCAATTGTTATTTTGGGATTCAAGGGATTCAATCATTATTTATGTACATTTGTTCTAATTAGACTCTTTTTTCAATGTTTGTTCAGCTTGCCGAAACTATATACGAGTATGGTAGAGGTAAAGATGAACGTGCCCTGCAGCTCCTAGGTTCAGATTTTGATGCTTGTGATTATAAGGTAATTTACAACCTATTACTTGGTCCAAATATTCAGAACATTCTCTAGTGCTCACCATACCAATTCAAGGCCTGAGGATATTATAGTACTAAATTGCTAAGTACTATATGCTATTGGCTTCATATTGCTGAAATGAAATAATGCCTCATGTCTCCAAGGCAATAGGAGCATCCGATGAGCAAATCGATGTGTTTAATGAAGTTTGGTATATCTTGCTACTGAACACTGGGAAAGCTGTGAAAGGTATGACTTTGATGCATAGAACATTTGGCTACTTTCATAATGGATTGTTGACTTTTTGCCTTTAATTTGTATGATGTTTAATGTAGTGATAGACGCAATTGAGAAGCGACTTAAGATGAGGGATGGTGTGCCCTTTTTATGGCGTCTATTGGTATGGCTTCGTATCTTCCTTCAAAAATTGGTTGTTGTGGCAATGAGTTGCAATTTGAAATATTTGCTATACTTGTATTTCAGGAGAGAGCATACTCAATGATGGGCAGGGAGGAAGCTGTGAGAGCGGCTGATAAGGCAAACCATCTGGAGAGGATATATTTTCAATAGCTGTATGTATGTACTATGTATTTAGTTAAACGAGGGGATGCATCCCCTTCAAAGAATGCATAGAGTGCATATTGATATGAAGGTGTAAAATAGTGAATAAAGTGGTGTAAGAAACATGTAAAGATCGAACAAGCCATTTTAGACATCAAGGGTGAACAATTGACATCGTTGTTGCACCAATGATCTATACCATGCTTTGAATAAAGACATAGCTTAAAATTTGCAGGTTTATACATCACATTGCTGTACTCATTTTGTGTATACAAGATATTCAGGCTGTTACTGGGGTTCTCAACAATGACAAAATCACAGCAAAGTCATATTTAATTTACCGAAGAGGACTTCAAGTTTGGTCTAACTCCTAGGTTGAAGAATCAGTCTTCAAGTGTTTAGGTATGGTTCGGCCACCATCAGTAAAGAATGAGACAGATAGCCAAACCCAAGAGGTCAAGAGTTGAAAGGCTACCAAAATATTTCCAAGTTAGCAAAAGTGCTTAAAGTTGGTGAAGTTCTTTTGGCGGTTGAAAGCTCATCCGCCGATGGTGGTGAGGTGGGCTTGATGGTTTCGGCAAGCTATGACTGAATTTCAGGTAATATAATATCTATAATAGAAGCAAAAGGTTGGCTATGATTAATTTCGTGCTTTGTTGAAAAATAGAACAAATCAAGTGCCCAATCTTAAAATTTAGCAACAACATTTCCTTTTTATCATATCAAATACACTTCAATTGGTGATAATGATGATGTAATATAATACAAAGTGGCATCATACAAATATCCAACCTAATTATCTCAGCTCTTTTCCCATCATAACAGTTATAAGATTGATCACAAAACCCTCCAAAAACCCCCCAACAAAGTCATTAAGGATATGATCTAGTATAGTGGTACAAAATTACAAAATAACACAACACCATTGCACAACCCTCCAATCTCATCCCTCGGCCGCTGCAGGGACCACCACGACGCTAGAATTAGAAACTCTAACCCCGCGAATACTGCTCCATATTCGCCGTAGCTCCGCCACTACTTCCCGTGCATCAGGCCGATCATCTTTATCATCGGCCACACACCGGAACGCTAGCTCAGCTACTGCCGCTACACTCTCAACCACGGCAGGCCCTTCGGCCACCAATGAGGGATCCACCACTTGATCCAACAACCCAATTTGAATCCTAGCTACTACCATATCCACCAACCCCACCTCCCTTTTTTCCCTCCTTAGGTCAACCGCCTTCAACCCAGTAATCAATTCCAAAAGCACAACCCCAAAACTAAACACATCACTCTTTTCGGTTAACCGAAACGATTTATGATAATCCGGGTCTAAGTAACCCGGAGTACCCTGCGGTCCGGTCCACACACAACCCGACGATGAACCAGGTAATTCCCCGGATAAATTCTTCTCCGGACATACCAATAACCTAGACAAACCAAAATCCCCAACTCGAACCCGCATATACTGATCAACAAATATATTGGTAGCCGTAATATCGCGATGAACCACCGCCGGCTGGACCGTAAAATGGAGATATTCAATCGCAATAGCAATCTGCAATGCAATATCAACCCGTGTCGGCCAACTCAACGAACCGGATATCTTCCGATTCGGACCATGTAAATGGTCAGCTAATGTTCCATTTGGAATGTAATCATACACCAATAATAAACCACGTGGGTCACTACAATACCCATGAAGTCTAACTAAATTTGGATGTTCAATTGATGATAGTATTAAGATTTCATTACAAAACGACTTCGTTGGGACGGCTTTACCACCGTGTCGATGCAAGTATTTCACAGCTACGGTCCGACCGTCGAAAAGCTTCCCTAAAAAAACCGACCCGAACCCACCATCTCCAATCTTCCTATTCGGGTCGAACCGGTTGGTGGAAGATTCGAGCTCCTCGTAAGTGAAAACCGGCGGAAGAAGCGAGGCGGACCGATGATTGTGTAGAAAAACCGTCATCGGATCCTCCAACATCCCTACACTATTACCACCACCGCCATTGCCTCCAAAACGCCCGTTTCGAAGCGCGAACAACGAAACCCCTACGAAGCATAGCAAACCCATCAACACAACCGCGGATGTAAACTCCGCAATATGCTTCTTATGCTGAACCCACAGAGAAGGAGGTAGGATGCTTTCGTGAAGACACAAGAACTGTTTATTCGGGTCGGATGAATTGAACCCGCAAGCCCCTTTTCTATTCAACCGGCAATCATTGCACTTGTTGAAGAACTCGTCGTGGGTTAGCTCAAACTCTACTTGAATCCCGTACTTGAGAAATTTATCCAAAAATCCGATAACATCGTTTTGGCACCCTTGTTCGGTTGCGGGCCGAGAAGACGGACCGCAACCGGGGGTAAGCCGAAGCGGGTGTTTGATCAACGAGCAATGCCAAGGACAGAGCTCACAATTAGGCAAAGAGAGAGTAGGACATGGTTTGAGAATAGAAAGACGAGAACAGGAAGAATCAGTGATTTTGAAAGGAGTGTTGGTTAGATTAATGGGGTGAGGAGGGATAGATGAGGAGAGAGAAGGGCAGGTATTGTGAGGGGAGGAGAGAGAAAGAGGAGAGAGAAGGAGGTAAGAGGAAAAAGGGTCATAGTTGAGGAGAGAGAAAGAGAGGTTGTTGATGATGAGATAAGAAGTGTTGGGAGTGCAGTGAAGGTGGAAGTCAGGGTGGCCGCAGCCGGGAGTGGTGGAGAATGGGTATGGTGGTGTGGTGTTGAACGGCGGACAGTGCGGTGGTTGCGCGGTGGTTGTGCAGGAGTGCTGGTGGTGATGATGGTGGGGGTTAAGGTCGGCTGATGAAAATGGTAAGAGGATTAATAAGAAAAGGAAGATGAAGAAAGGAGGCATGGAGTAATGAAGAATGTGGGCATGAAAATGGAAGGAAAGAGATCTAATCTTAATTTACAGAAGAAGGGAAGTGTGGTTTTGAGGAGAGAGAAAGAGTAAGAGTGAAAGGGTCACGTGAACAAAGATTTTAAAAAAGGAAAGGAGAAAGAGAGAGAAGAGGGAACACAAATGTTGAAAACGGAGGGATTTTACTTTTCTTCTACGGAGAAAGAGAAAAGGAGAAGGAGGTGTTGCCTGTTGCCCTGTTGGTGTTGTAGTCTTTGTTTATTGTTTTGTTTAGGTTTCCCTAGGATCAAAGGTACACTCGATTTTTGTGACTATCAAGTAACAAGTTTGGTTTTGGAGGGTTTTTTTTATTTTTTTTTTCTTTATAAGGATGTGAATTCTTACCTTATTTTTTTTTACGAAAAATGCTATACATAGCTTTTAGGAATACATATAAGCTTTAAATATACACTAAAAAATTATATAAATTTAGAAAATCATAAAAAATAAATACTAATTACACTGATTTACGCTTGTTTTTGTCATAAATTCATAATTTTATACAATTTTCAAGAGTGTATTTAATACTAGAATTACATATAGTATTACCCTTTTTTTTACACTTGCAAAATTGATTTGCAGAAATTACTAGTATATTCATGGAGTATCTCGTGAAATGATTCTACATGAAAACGGAGAAACTCAAGAAACAATTCTGACCTAAATCTCCTAATAATGAGGATTTCATAAACAATATAGCTCTTAAGTAGTTCTCCATGAAATCTTAAATCCCCAAATAATGAGGATTTCAAAAACACTATTGCTCTTAAGTAGTTCTCCATGGAATCTTAAATCCCCTAATATTGAGGATTTCAAGAGCTCTACAGCTCTTAAGTAATTCTCCATGAAATCTTAAGTGTTTTTGAGAGTCATCTCCATCCGAAATTGTGTACCATGTGTTCATATTGGATTATGAATCTCCAACTTGTTATTGACTTTATTTGGTAATTAGCTGGTAGATAATTGATATAGCTAGTTGTACTAACTAGTTTGATTAGTTGGTTGTAAATTGCTAATTGTGTAAGAAAAGTTTGGTAAATAGCTATTAATTGTAAGTTATTTCAATATATTTAATATCCAAAAAACTAATTGTTCAATAAGCTAATTTCAAAAGGCTCTATATTTAATATCTTTTTCTAAGAGTTTTTTTTATCCCAAAAAGCTCCTTTAATAAGCTATTTACTAAACACCCAAATTAGTTTTTTAAAATAGTCAAACTTCTAATAGGACTCAAAGCTTAGGGGTCGTTTGATTGGCACGGGGTAAACAGAATGGAATGAACAAAGGAAAAGAAAGAGCATGAAATGAAAATCCCTCAAATTTCCTATGTTGTTTGTTTTAAAAAGGGAATCAAACCACCAGTCCCACCACCACATCACCACCACACAACCACCCATTTCTTTCAATTCCCACCTTTTCCTACCACCATCCAGCCAACTCACCAGTCACCGCACCTCCCCCACTACTCGCCGTCGTTCGCCGCACCTCACTTGCCCTACGCTTCCCCTCCCATGCCCCTGCAAAGCTTTCCCCTCCCTCGTAAAACCCTAAAAATTCCTTTCCTGATTCCCCGTAAAACAGTCAGTCGCCCCTCCCACCACCCTCGAAACCTTAGGCGCTAGGGTTTCGAGTGTGGTGGGAGGGGCGACTGATGATATTACGGGAAGGGAGAAGAGTATTTAGGGTTTTGCGGGGGGATTGGGAGAAGAGTATTTAAGAGCGGCAGTGCGGTGGCTAATTTTCCAGTGATGAGGGTAGTTAAGCGGGTGGTGGTATGGTGGTGAGGTGGTGGCTAGGGAATGAGAATGAAAATACCTAGGGGGGTGGGGAATCAACTTGGAGAGATTTGGGGGAATGGAGAGGGTAAAGGGAATTAGAGAAATTAAATGGCCTAACAAACAACAACAAAGGGAATGGCTGATTCTCATTCCCTTTTGATGAATACCCCCAACCAAACGGCCCTTTAAAGTTTTTAAAAGCTCTTTACCAAACAAGACCATTGGCTCACACATAAGTACATTTTCATGGAAATACATTTATTATTATTGAGGTATTTTTGAGCCACTGTTGAGGATGTCTTGTAGAAAGATATTCCACGATAGTAGAGAACTAGAGAGGGAGGAAGAGCGTTTTACAAAGTTATGAATGTATATGCTCTAAGTACTTCATATTTTGTTTTAGCTTGCTAATATGTAAATAGAGATAGAAAATCGTCTTTGCATTGGTTTTAATAAGGTCATTAATACCTCTACTTACTTTGTTGTGTGTAGCACTGTCAAAAATCGAACCAAACCCGATCCGAATGAGAACCGAACCGATTAA